TTCCCTCACCGTGACATCGTTTCCCTTTAGCATCGTTGTTCGCTCAGTCTTGTCTTCTCGGAGTGGGTTGCTGAATGCGTTGGATTTAGCTTGCGGCGTGGGTTGAGGATGAATGTTTAGAGAACTGGGAGTGAATCAGCGAGCTGAATCGAGGATGTTATTTAGGTATTGTTTGAGATGGGATTGAGGGAATGCTTGTGGTAGGTTTGATGGAAAGAGGGAAGAAGTGGTTTGAGATGTATTTGAAGGATGATTAAGATTATGTAGTTGAAGAAGAGCTTGGCTTTAAGTAAGAAGAGATGAATATAGAATTGTTGGAGTGAAGTTTGATTAGAAGAATGGAAGGGTATTTGAGTGATATTATTTGGGATGAAAATTAGGTCTGAAGCTATTGGCTTTTGAAGACTAAGCACATTATTGTTTTCATCCTTTGAGCTAATTCAGTTATGAAGTGCTCAGGACTTGCGTGGTTGATAGAGAAGAGATTCAGGGTTAAGAGGTGTGCTTGTAGGTGCTTTAGAGTTAATGACACTGAATCTTACTAATTAGAGGGAACTCAATCTTGTTACTTTTCACCCGAATAATTTCCCAGTCAAGTGGATAATGATGTTATTAATCACGGATAACGCGACGAACTTTTCAGGCGTTATGCTATTCGAGGACTAATTAACTTTGTAAAGTTAGAAATTCAGTTCTCCTACAATTCCTATCTTCCTCTTAAATTAAGATCGTTATTAAATCGTGTCAATTTTTCAATCTTGAAGTGAAGTTAAATAAAGAACAAATTACTACAAGGCTCACGTTTGACCTTTTATACAAAGCACTCCAATTTCAGTACAAAACAACCGCAATCTTGACTTCTTTCCATCTTCGACAAGATCTAAAACGATTCTCCATCTGATTGTCATAAATCAGAAAATTCACGACACTTTTCCCACAACTCGTGGAGAACTGAATAACGCCGTTATCGTTACCATCTTCGTCCAGTATGCGAGCCGCCATTTCTCAAAAGTAGATTCACTGGAGGAAATGATCAGTTGATGTCCGGTAACCGAGGAAAATTCAATCAAGCAGGCGATTCGTAACTGGAATATTTCCATCGAAGACATTGATCCTCAGAAAACTCGATAACCGATATAAAATTAGCGGATGTTTAATATTTCCTATTCCTCGTTGGTTACTCCTGTGATTAAAATTTCACGATACAAAGTGAACTTGACACTGATCACACAGAAACTCTCATTTGAATGATTACAAAAAAACCCGAAGAATTCCAGGTAAAAAGAGAAGTTCCAATTGGCAGTGATCCAAGCAGTTTATTAACACCAAGAAATCATTGTACAAAACAAAAGCATGTGCTACAGTATAAACGGTGTTCCGGCTGCAAAAAAATGTAACATTTAAAAACTAGGGCTCGATCGCAGGACCGTGGAATTATTGATTTACGTCAGTCAACGATGTTGTTATCGGCAGTCGATCAACGTTCATTGCCATTTATCAACCATTAAGTAACACTATATTTATCACACTTTATTCGTTGTAGTAACGTGACCTCGAAGCACGATTAATCAACAACACAACGTCAATAAAACGACGAACGCGTCAATCAAAATACACGAAGCCTTCGAACGTGGACCATATATATATATAGAGAGAGAGAGAGAGAGACGTGATCAATATTCGGCTAAACTTATCGAGCCTCAGAATTATAAATAGAAGGGTATCGAGCAGCAATGCAGAAGCGACAAAAGACTATCCCAAGTCTTGTGAATAGGAATAAATCAACTGAGTTCTCTGGCTGGATAAGGTTTGCAAACCGTTTTGGTTTCTCTGAAGAGTCTTCGGGGATATTTATTATTCCAAGATGGCCAGTGTTTGTAGAGATACCGGTGGAAAGCATTAGAAACGTCATAGTGAACTTAATCTCGTTTCACGAATCCTTGGATATTCTTGGTTTCTTCTTTTCTGTTTTTTTTTCTTTTAAAGTAAAGCACAAGATGGACTAGGTCGTAGAATTAGACTTCAGAAGGGAGATTGGAGTAAACAAATTATAATTATTCATTTCTTTCTCTGGTTTTTTCTTTTTAATCGAACTGCGGATTAATAATGGATTCGAGGAAATCGTACGTGATCGACGGAAATGCAAATAATCATAATGTGTTTGTCCCTGTACAAAAAACAACGAGGGCTATATCTATAGATGATTGTTTTTCACATTCGTCACTCTGTTATCTTTATTACGCATAAGCCTTGTTGCATAGAAATCGAGGTCGCATTACGGTGCCATTTATGTAAGTGCATGTCTCGCTATAGAATGCACAGTGAATTCGTTCGTAGGAACAGAAAGAATCGATTGATTGGATTCCAGAACCTGGATTAAGGCTATTTTAACCAATTAAGATACAATGCGGTGAATTAAGCCTAATATCCAATATGTCCACCGCCTACGAGGCTCTAAGGGACTCAAGTCCCACGCTGAGTGGTCGAGTGAAGCATTCGAGTACATTAAACCCCATAGAATTCAAAGGTTAAACGAATTCGTCAATAGTATAGTCTGGGCCAAATATTTTGCATTCAAGGCTATTAAATCATTCTCTTCACAGCTCTTAGTTGGCTCTTTAACAACAAAATTTTAATTTTGTTCTGTGACATTATTATATACTTCCACTTTTTAATTTTTAATAAGAACAGGGAAGAGTAATAAATTCTTGTCTAATTTATTTATCCTATATTAATTCATACAGTCTGTTTCAGTTTTTTAAATGAAGATTATGTCCTTTTATCTCAATGAACAAAGTTACTTGAGTAAAATAATCAGTCCATAAAATTGGATGATATAAACTGAGCAACAGCTTATGATTCACCCTAACAGACTGATATAACATTGTTCCAGCATGACCTTGACCAGTCAATTACTTCTAAACAGGCTATAGCAGCACTAACCTACCAACAGCAAACATCAAAACATGTAGCAACAAAAATAGAAGCCACTCCCAAGCCGTTTAATTGACAATCAAGAAAATGACCTTGGATAGCCTTGGATGAAACCTTTCACCCTAATCACAATTCAACACCAGACAAAACAACATTAACCCTGGGTTACCCTGGTGGACTTTGACAATGTGATTTCACTAATGTCGAGAGCTTTGAACTAACTAAAAACAATTAAATTAAAAAATTCACCAGATTAACATAGGGTTGTAAACGCTCTTCTCTTCCCAACAAAGACAAACCAGTCATTCACGATCTCGATCCAGCACCAATTCTCACTATCGGGACAGGACAGGGGACAGAATGGTCACGCCGAATGGCCCTGCCCTACCCTATCCTGACCCAATAATGCAAATCGGGAACGACTCCCGTTGACAAGAATGGCTTTGTAAACAAAAAATAGAAAAATATAACGTTGATTTCAGTCCCACGATGTATCCTTCTATGTTGGGATGACCTTGAGTAAGACCGATTCTCACTATCGGGACAGGACAGGGGACAAAATATACACGCCGATCGGCCCTGCCCTGCTCTATCCTGACCCAATAATGCGAACCGGGCATGATCCTGCTGGGAATCGATTGCTGGTGATGAATGGAAGAGACGTCCCGTGTCGCCTGGCGTTCTCAACTACTTGAAGCAATTGGGACAGCCCAAGAAAGCGTGTTATCGAGCTGAATTGGAAGCGGTGTTGTGAAGAAAAGATGAGGATGATGGAGATCTTCATTGTAGAGTCTGTATCGTTTCATCTCATCTCCGCTATTGTTTCAATAGAATTTTATTCTTTAAGTGTATGTACTTATTTTTGTTTTTTATTTTTTAGATAAGTTTGGTCGAGTTCACAGAAGTGTGCAACAAATGTGTGCTCTCTCCTTTAAGTCGTACATATATGGGCTGTGTGTGTGTGCGCGCATGTTTGTAGTGCAAGCTTTTTGGACAAGCTGATGATGGCGTCAAATTGAATTTCCAGGAGCGTGATCAAAGTTTGACTAATAGGCGAGGTTTAAACCGTGTTTAACGGTAATTAATCACCGTTGCAATTTATTAGGGTGTCTGGCGCATCCTGGATGCTCTCACGAGACCGCTCCACGGACTCGAGAGTTGCGAATGAAGTTGTTGCGGGACCGTTTGCGGGGTATATACACTTCCGATCGATTCTTGTCCATTTAGGGATTGAATCGGACCGCGAGCGTGCTTTAGGCTGGAGAAAACGGTATACAGAGGTGTTTTGTGATAAGGGAATTGTTCTGATAAGCGAGAGAGGAGAAGCGTGGGCAGATAAGGATTTTAACCATTCACACGTACAACGGCAATCTTCTCGATTTCAAATTCTTTTGGAGAGAAAGAAAATCATCGAACGTTTCAAAAATAGAACACCTAATTACTTCCACGAATCTCTTATATAAAAATAAAAAATCCCACCCTATGAATTAATAATTTGTAAATTAATAAATTAAATTCTTTAAAAATTATCGGTTTTACAATTTTGTCCCGCTGCAAAAAAAAAAAACAAAAAGCTGATCATCACTGGTACAACATGTAAAATTAGTAAACATGGCAAGAAGATAATTCTGTATAATTCCAAAATAAATTCTAAAGATACTTAAACTCTCTGAGAAGATTAAATCCAAGTTTGCTTGATTCTTATCAGTGAAAACAGCAATAAAATTAGAAACTTCCTCGTTCGTCCATCAACAACAACGTCATTTAAAACAATTAAGCGTCAACGATCCGGATTGAATGAACCAAAGATAATTAAAAAGCAATTAAACGTCCATTTTTGTTGCAATAAAATTCGAAACACCATTGTATACCACCGTTTGTGAATGCGTGCAAACGACTAAAAGCCAGAGAACTATTTCTGAACAATCAGTGTAACAGCTCACCGGTAGCTGAGCCTGATGACGACGATCCCATTTGACTAACTGCCCTGGCCTCATGGAATTGCTTCACTCTAGCAACTCCACTGGGCAACAATACCGCCTTCTTCGCCAGAACACTGGTGGCAGACGAGGAAGATTTCATGTCCACCTTCTTCATCTTCTCCTGAATATCCTTCGCATCGTCCTTCGCCTCTGTATCATCTTTTCTCGCTTGTTCCTGACGCAGACCTTTCTTCATCTCTCACCTCGAGTCTTTTAATTGCAGTTCGAAAAACGACTTACGGTCCCCTCAGCATGAACTATGCCATAGTATAACGGATCGAATCTAAGGAAACAGAGGAAAAACTGTTGCACTGGCTAGCTCATGTTTGAGGAACGGCTTGTACCGAATGAACGGTCAAGGTTATGTTATTGAAGTCGGTTCTATCGAGTTCAAACTGGTATCTGCGCTTTATGCTTTCTTTCTTTATGTATTGCCGAGAAAAGATAGACGTAGGTATAATCGACGTTTCATAACTGGAAGATTTTTATTTGAATTTTTTCATATTAAAAGATAAAAAATGAAAGACGGTAATTGGAAAATTTGCAATAACAGTAAATGTAGAGAAAAATAGATGCATCTGTCGAATAATGATTATAGTAATGATAAAAACACTACTCGAACGAGCGTGAGTGCAAGAACCTCCGAGATAAAAGCTGAAAACGTCTTTTAACGACAGTATTTAATCTGCCGGAAGTTAGTAGCCGTATACGGAACCGCTGGACAAATAACATTTCACTACGCTCAGTTAAATTTATTGTGAAACGGCGCGCGTATTGCGTGTCATTAAGAGGTAATTGTCGTAAAAATTTAGAAAGCGAAACACGCAGCAAGAAACGAAATATTCGTATCACTTTCTCCTGGGGTTTCACGAATAATAAAAACAAGAACGTCGAACAAGTTTCATTGGAAGTGGTTTTATTTTCATAAAGGCGAGTATATATGTAATGTGGTTTATTTTCTTTGGTTATTTTTATCGTGTAGGAAAATATTGAGATAAGATACATCATCGATAAAAAAAAAGAAGATTGTGTTCGAAAAATTTGTTTTTCAACCACGCCCATTTTTTTTTTAAATACTTCGCACACGTAGAGATTCATGAAAACGAATGATAAGGTTCGAAAAGAATTTGAAACACCTACGCCATTGGTCGCAACGATTCGAAATTTCGATCGATATTATCATTCAGAACTTTCAGTTTATTGAGAACTTTACAAAGTTTGTTCAGTCGTCGAAAACGAGGAAAAAATTGAACAATTAATTCGGTAGATGTGAGAATTTAATATAAATAAGAAACAAGTGACCGAAATAAATTAAAATAGGTTGCGCAGGTTCCGGACAATGCAACGTTGAAACTGGTTCAATAAACCGATATCCGAAATACATCGCGCGCTATTAAATAAGCTTGCCGGTAGACGTGGGGTAAAAAAATATACGATGACACGAGGTTAAAGACTCGACACGACGTATCGGAAACAGGAGCAGTGGACGGAAAACAACCCAGCTGATTTAAGATCCTCGTCATATTCATAAAAGACATTGCAAAATCGTTATTCAGACATTAACGCGGCAAATCAAGAAGCAAAAAATCAAACAAAAACGTATGTAAAGAATGATAAATAAAAACCGTGTAAACACAACCGTGGAAACGTAAACCGTATTGCACAATTCTTATGTTAGTCAAAACAATGTAACGCACACACTAGCTCAAGGTGAGTCATAATACTTAACGAAATAATGACGGGTGTTTGCAATGTGAAAGCAACGTTGAGTAATTTCAAATCGCGCACATGAAATCGTTCTTTATGTGACGCAATCACATAAGGTCAACAGAGGAACGTGAAAAAAGAACGAATACTCATTTATTTCGCATAATTTTCCAGCAGCAGTAGCAGTAGCAATATACAAATAGTAGGTAAATTAGCGGCAGAGGGACGCGCGTAAAGCCGGACGTACTCGGTCGAAAGTAATATGCAAAGCTACGTTAGGAAGGGCGAGACTCACTCCCATGTGGAAATATTAATAAAACGACGATAATCAAAGTCACCGGTGGGTGGATGGGTGGGAGGATGAGACGAGGTGGAGAAGCGGAATGGCTGGTTCGAGGCTTTTCGAGAATCTCGTGACGGTAATTAAGAGGAGAAAAAAGTTGAGAAGCGAGGAATGCGTGAATCGTGAATCCGGACGTTTTCGCGAAACGAATATGTATTGCGGCGCGAAACCGCACGCTCGTGAGCTCTCTAACCTCAAAAAGGCGATCGGCGATCGTGAGCCGCATGTCAGCTCGGAGGACGTAGGAGCCAGTCTCACCGTGCACTATACCGCCACGTCGTTAACTCGGCACGAGACGCAGCCAATAATAAAATCACCAAGGATAATGAGCGTTCTTTGTCGAGTGATAAGGAAGCAAGTGGCCACAAAGTGACATTCACCCTGTCGTACATACACGCGCGCGCACATTGACGTCATGTCCTCGCTCCCACTCTTCGCCTAACTTTCCAGCGATCGAATTGCCCTCTGTCGGCCGCTTCAGCGATCAGCGATCGGAAGCCTTCGAATCGTGCCGAATCGCGCTAGACGAGTGAAGTTTGTTAAAACTTAAGTGAGAAGGAAGTGAAGGAGCAAGAAAATGAGGAATAGGTGAAGTGGTAAAACGGGAGAAATGTAGTGTAGGTTTCGAGAGGTGTCTGGTTCATTTGGAAAAGTCACAGTTTCAAAGATTGAAGTGACAGGTATTTAACAAATTGAATTTTATTACATTCTTATAATGTGCAAAATGTATATTGTTTTTTGTTACTGTTCATTTACTATTCCTTTTCTGAAATAATTGAGGTTTCTTACGATGAATATTTTTATTTACGTACTGTAAGATATTGTTGAAAAAGTTGAAGTATTTCCTAACAGATGTAAATATGTATGTTGCTCGAAACCGGTTACCCGCATAACGAAACACGTAAAGATAAACCACGATCATCCTTTTAAAGCCATTAATCACCTAAAGTTATTCATTGAAGCTTTGAATCGCGCACGATTTTTCAAACAAGTAACGAACAACTGAAACAGTCCATTATTAACAGTACCTGTTACAATTACGATTTAAAATTCATAGTTTATTTCTGTTGTGATTTTATTACAAAACTAACATAGTGCTGACGATACTGTTTCACAAGGTAATGGGAATCATGTTAAAAAGGCATTGAATAATGCACTCATCTATCCGCGCGAAATGCACATAACAAAATTATAGATACCTTTCGCGAAAGTATCGTTCCCATCGCTAACTAGCGGCCATCTTACAGTGTACCCCCGACCTGCAAAATATCTCTCCGGCGCATAAAAGGTCGTAAGTCCCCAGACCGTCAAGCAACTATAGCGATTGCGCGAATACCATATAGTCGGTGCCGGCAAAGGTGTAAGCGGTGTTCGCAAGCGGTGTCAGTCGTCTACGGGTGCCGGAAAAAGCGGCATCACACAAAGGGCAATACTGCGCTGTCGATGACTCGTCACTTAAATCGGTATTTTTTCAGTGAGGTGTCAGACGATACTGATTCGCTCACTGACTCGCAGCAAGCATCTTCAGTTAGCTCGTCAAACAAATTACCATTGTAAGTACCATCGAAACACAGGCTTCCCTAACATCTATTGCATTCAGTATTTCACTGTATGTATCGTTGTACAATCGGTGATCTTAAAACATCACCGAGTTATTTCAAGTGTACATGTTTAAAATTCCTTCAACGCCTCGATCGTAAATCATCCATCACTGAGACACGCTTGGGGATTCGATTACCGTTACGCGAGCAACTTCATGACCATGGCCGGTTAACCGTGTCCGTTAATCGAACTTGTATAGCAAATCGTTTCGATCGTGATTAACTGTTGTAATAAACCGTCCATCTTTTCATAAGTCGCTCATTTATAGACAAGAGACAGGCCGCTCCCCTGTGCTTGTTACGCGACAACTTTACGGCGTGTTCCCGACCGATGGAAAACGCCCGACCGTGGCCAACGGTCTGAAATACGGCGCAAGTAACTTCCGGCCTCGACAAACACTATCAAACTCACATGGTATTGGTCCAGTAGCCTTGACGCGTAACTCCTCCATTACATCATTATATCGGTCTGTCAGCGTGAACTCGACGATGACATTACTGGGCTGACGGCATCCGTTCGCGTCGGATGAATATCTTTTCAGATGCGAGTCGCGTGCGCATCGATGCTCATCCCGACGGCCGTTCGTGATGCGCGCGAATAATCGATACACAAGCCGGCATTTTCCATAAAAACATACACGGCTACTTTTAGTCGCCACACTGAGATAATTCGTGTCGCCAGATTAGCCGATTAATCGACATCAGCTGTAGTGATACGTAACCATGGTAAAAGATAACGATCCAGGTGATCCAACTGACCGATGTAGATCGTGCCATCTGATGGCAAAACGGCCCCTAACGCGAACGCAATCTAGTCTTGTTCGGATTTTTCCTCCGACCATTCCGATGAATTGCACAAATTAGTTGTATGCAATTATAATTCATCACTGTGCGTATTAAATTACAAACTACTGCGAGCTATATCGGCGCGATGCGGTGATCTCTTTCAACAACCATTAAACGACATAACGACAGAAACGTTTATGTAATTTACAATAAGCCTGTTGATTTTGTCAGCGTGGAACGATGAAAGAAAAAAATATGTGTTAACCAGTGTGTTGAAAGTTGTTGAATAGTTTTTTGCTTTCGAAAAATCTCAGACAGTGTCGTATTTAAGTTGTTGGAGAAGTTTGAAGTATGAGCATGCGTGGCATATCTAGCCAGGATGTTTTTTTATTGAAATTTTTATTGCCTAAGAGCGATTACATTTTATGCCGGACGTAACATGATCGCGCACAATAAAAATAATCGAGTTATCGTATTCACTATTGCATCGATTTCTGAGCCGAAGCTTTATTAAAAACTTGGTTTCGTTTCTGTTTTTTCTTTCTTCTGAATGTGCTTTTCAACGGTCCTTTTATACCTGTTTATAAAGACCGGGAGAATAACGTAATTTTTAAAAATAAGTATTACCGAATAATGTAAGCAAGAGATGAAAACAGAATCTGTCCTGGTTGGAATGATACATCTTTTGAATATCAATTAGTTTGTTTAAAAACACGATGATAAGCATAATTACATTTGATATTTAAATAAATATATACTAATATTTAAATAAATATGTTAATAATTAGGTATAAATCATGACTTAACAGTTTTGTGAACACTGATTAATGTTATTTAACTATCTGCTTCTACATTTACTATATAATGAAAATTAATATTCCTATTACTTATAATTACTAAATTAATATATAGACCTGTAATAAATTAATTCTTATCTTTGTGATAAAATCTTTGTGTTTCTGTGCTTTATTATAAGTATTACTTAATTTCAGTGTACTTAACATTTTACCTTTTACAGATAAATGTCTACTAAACGTAAAAATCAAAACACAATGCAGTCAAAAGGACACATATTAAATATGATTCATCGGTTTATTGAATTGATTGCCAGAAGGATATTTCTGTGCATTGCATACTTAAGAGGACCTCCAGAATTGCAACCACCTATAAAGGATCTAACACTTTTACATAGTGCAACAGTCCTAGCTTTTAAAATTCGAAATAAACAAGTAAGTAAAATATCTTCTTTCAGTATGAAATAATTTTGTTTCAAGATAGCTGTAAGATAAGATACAGACATTCAAAAGAACAAAAATTAAAATTAAATATTATCATATTGATATTTATCTGCTAATAAACATGTGTATACTTAATCTGTGGGAAACTTTCTGTTTACAGTTAACTTCCGAAGAGGTAGTGCAATCATACATAGATAGGATAAGAGAAATTCAACCAGTATTAAACTGTGTGGTGGAGGAACGCTTTGAAGATGCCCTTAAGGAGGCTGGAAAGTGTGATGAGCTATTAAAATCTCAAAATGCTCCATCTCCTCAAGGTTTAGCTGAAGAAAAACCGTTTTTTGGTGTGCCTTTTACTACAAAGGTAAATTAATTAGATGTATACATGCTTCAAACAAGTTTATATGCTAATACAAATGCTAATACATATAAATATCTCGTTTTATATCATAGGACTGCATTGGAATTGCTAATATGAAGCAAACAGCTGGTTTAACACTTCGCAAAAATACCATTGCTGATCGCGATGCGGAAGTGATTAGATTAATGAGAACTGCAGGAGCCATTCCTCTAGCAACAACGAATGTTTCAGAGTTGGCCATGTGGTGGGAAACGTCTAATTGTTTATACGGAACTACGAAAAATCCTTACAACACTAGGCATATTGTTGGAGGATCTTCTGGTGGTGAAGGTTGTATACAGGCAGCAGCTGGTTCACCACTAGGCATAGGCTCAGATATTGGCGGTTCTATTCGTATGCCATGCTTTTTCAATGGAATTTTTGGACACAAACCTTCTAAATGTATAGTATCAAACGATGGTCAATACCCGAGTGCTCAAAGCGAAGACCAGGACCGTTTGCTCGCAATTGGCCCAATGTGTAGACACGCACAGGACCTGCTACCTATATTAAAAGTTCTCGCAAATAAAAACGTAGACATGTTGCGTTTAAATGAGAAAGTAGACATTTCTAAAGTGAAGGTATGAATGATACACTTGAATTCCATTCGACGATTATATACAACATAAGTATTCATTTTAACTTACTAAATTGATAAGTATTAATTTTAATTTAGTTCTATTACATGGAAGATGACGGCGGCCAACTCTTTACATCCCAGGTCGAACCGGAAATAAAAGAGGCCATGAGGAAAGTGGTTCGCCACCTGGAGAAAGCGCATAAAATCAAAGCTACTAAACTTAATATTAGAAAACTGAAAAAAAGCATCGCGCTTTGGATGGCAAACATGACCTGTAAAGACGAGAAAGATTTTACGTACGAATTGATGAACAGAAACGGTCACATAAATCTGTGGTGGGAGTTTTTAAAATGGATAACGTGCATGGGTAATCATACCTTAATAGCTCTCCTTACTGCCACATTCGAAAGATTCACTGTGAAACATGGAAGCGAGAAACACACTAAACTAATTCAAGAAAGTAAAGACCTTTATCGAGAATTACAGGTATGATCTTTGATCGAGTCGTCCATATATTGTATATAATTTTTATCTTTTATAAATTTTTAATGCAATATTATAAATTGATAAGTACCCGTAATGTAACTCATCAGGGTTGGAATTGGCACCTATCTTCTTCGCCTTCCTTTCTTACTATCGCATTGCGGAAGTATACTCTTTATTAAAATGGACGTGATTTCTTTCTCGAGTATCTCGTGCAAATTGGTCAGACTACTAGTCTATCTTTCACGGTATCACGTGTTATTTCTAATAAGTAGCAGAAACTTGTCGCTCTGCATGCCGAATGAAACTTTTTCCACTCAATAGTGAAAGAATTCTACTTTATTTTTGTAAATCTGTTTTCACCTTGTAGTTGTATTCACGCGACGAGAATCGAGTGATTGAACTTAAAGCATGTACCCAGAAATATCCATATTTTCTTCTTTTCTTTCCTCTTTGATATTTTATTATAAATTTTTAATCGATCTTTCTTTAATAGGATATTTTGGGTGAAGACGGTGTGTTCCTGTATCCAACGCATCCAACTGCAGCGCCATTACACCATGAACCACTTGTTAAGCCATTTAATTTTTCATACACTGGTATTATCAATGTTTTGGGTTTGCCTGCTACCGCTTGCCCCTTAGGTCTGAATTCGCAAGGACTTCCCATTGGTATACAGGTACGATTTTTCTGCGTTCATATTGATATAGTTATTCTTAATATTACACATTTACATCTACTGCAGATTGTCGGTGGCCTAAATCAAGATCATTTAACAATAGCAGTTGCTGAAGAGCTAGAACGAGGTTTTGGAGGCTGGGTACCTCCCGCTATTGTAGCTTGATACATCCGACTTTCAGGCAATAATTCAGCGCATGACACAATGCATAAAGTCTCCTTTTACCATATTCTGCCATTGTTATTTTTCGAGAACTAGTTTACACCCAAATAAAATTTGTACCAGAAAATCATAAGGTAAAGTACAAACTCGTATTCAGAAAGTAGATATCCGCGTTTAAATGTCCCAAGCATGTTTGCAATAGAACTCACAAAGGGACAAATGATTCTAACGAATATAAGCAACTTGAGATATACAAAAAAAAATTGTTATGTCGGTTCGAACAATCGACGATAAACTGTTTTCCGCCGAACGTGCAAACTCGTATTTGTTCAAGCGAGAATAACTGTACTTTTCGCAATCGTATAAATATATACAATATATATGTATTTATATTTATAAATTGATGTTAAAAGATTCTTTCTTCTGAGAAGAATCATGTTCACAGAAGTAATAATGTTTGTACATAAGTAAACTACTACATTGTATTTAACTAACGTTTTTATATACCTCATCATAGATCTCTATGTAGGATTTTCTATTTTCATACGAATCAAGAGAAAAAGGGAGATGGAGAGTGTGTGGATGATAGATAAACAGAAAAAGGAATCACATGGTAGCAGGGGTGCTTTCGGTAATGTGATAAAGTATTAAAGATTTTATGTTTATAATGTGTATTGATGTTAAACTCATATACATATATATTTTATGTACTGAGCAAATAAATTTTTATTCCATTATCCTATCTCAACTTCTCTTTACCAATCTGCGAAAAAAATTTATGTACAATTTTTCTATAGAACATTAAAGTTTTCTAACTTATAATTTACCTAATTTATTTTTGCATCGATTAATGCAAATTTTGATTATAACTTCTAAACATCTTACTCTTCACACACACACAAAAAAAAAAGAAACACGAATAAATTCGAATATTAAAATACAATTTTATTTAAAAATACATTCTTGAAAGGAAGAACTAAAAAAAGATACCTATGTGTGCTTAATATTCTAAGTACATAATGCGCCTTTTTCGGGTATGTAATACGAGATGAGAGATCTTCAATTCCATGATACATTTGATATCAATAAATAATTTAATACATATATACAATACTAATACGAATTATTCATCGCAGAAAACCTTTTAAAAAATGTAAGTGGCAGTTGTATGAATTTCATACACGTAAAAACATATTTACCCATGTTCGTGATTTCATGGGCTACGTTAAAAAATGGACTAATACAATTATATCGATAAATATATTATAAATTTATGTTTTCTACTAATACCTAGGTAATGTATCGATTTGAGTTAAGACAAAATCTTCTGTCTTCTAAAGTCTAATTCATAAAAAATGAAACAAGAACAAAAGCCTCATTAACATTTACATACGTATTAAAAATGATGTATACCGTATCACAATATATCTCTTAACACCTACAGAGAGTTATTAAAAATTCATTTCGCGTGATCTACTACATTTGATCAATCCTAAACCTTGCGGCAACATTTGATTTAATTATACTCAAAATCAAAGTTAACGCCTTCTCACGTAAGTACTCGATCAATTTGTTTTAACCTAACAGCTCGAGTGGATTAACATTACGTTATGAGATTCGTTTCTTCCGAGGGAATTTCACTTTTAGCTGTCTCAATGAGGGCATTCTCTGATCTGTTATCTAATGAATTGTCCTTACTATCGTCGCTGTCTGGCCTATTCGAAATCTCGTATTCATTCGAGTGCCTCTCCGACTGAAACCCTAATAAATTATCCCCTGCATCTTTGTATCGTTCCGTTTTGTCGTCGTAGTAATCGGTATTTCCATTGTTTAACATTTTATCTCTAGTCCTACAATACGAGTCCTCATCCTCTTTTATCGTTCTACTTTCTCTTCTACCGTCTTTCCTTTCTTCGTGGCCATTAGTGCGATTAATTAAGTTCAGTTCTACGTTTGTTCCTCCAGCCTTCTTCGGCGACTGATTTTTCGTAGAATTACCAAAAGGATTGAAGAATCGTCTTCCGTTCTCTTTGTTCACGCTATTGTTCGACTTCATGGAATCCGCCTCGTTTCTTTTGTGGTCCTCCATGTCTCTAGACTCTTGTTTTCTATCATAAGGCTGCTCCGCGGCGTTCTCAGCCTGTTCCCTTTCCTTTTTCACCGCGGTTAACTCAGCTTCTTTCATCGCCGAATGAATAACTGGTTCAGCCCATAGTCCTGGATTAAATGCTGGCCCTGTGCCACCCAATTCCGCTGGCAGAATATCAGTGGGCAGGTGTTCATGCAGGGTGCTTAAGTTGTTCCCGTGCAAGTAGATCTGGAAGTATTAATCACACACGGATTTACTTACTACTAAACAACAAATTAACACGTTACTGTAAAGAATTATTCTTAAGCTACAATATACAGAACGTTCTTCAGGGGTAAAGAACACTTATTGAAAAGTATAATACTCATTCATTGTACAAACACTGTGGTACTTTAGTTCTTATAATGCCACCTTGAATTATCTCCTGGTCAATATTTAATGTTGCGTATCTAGAAGCGTGTGTGTAAAAGCATTTGACTTTCTGTGTCAAGTGATTATACGCGCAATTATAACTAACGCAATTATCACTCTCCATTGATCAAGTGTATTATTATCTACAACTTTTAACGTGTTAACATATATTGTTGTGTTTTGAAATCAGAATAACTCGCAATATCGGGTTTTCTTAATATACTACTAGTTACTGCTCACACTTGATACAGTATACACTTTAATTCAGGGGTATATAATTTCATGTATTTTCCGATACTTTGTTCCTCCACATATTCCCCCTACCTTATTTCGGGTCTTTTCGTCCAAGAAAGGTTTCACGAGGGCCAATGTGGCCTGAACGTAGAGCGGGGCCGATAGGAAGTGTATAGCTTTGAATCTAGCCGGAAATCGTCCTCGAAGAGCGGCTATTAGGTTTCGCAGTGCCGCTGCGCCTAAGGCACCGCCCTGTCGTAAAGAGAATCCGCTCCAATCTACCACCGCCACGAAACCGGATTGCTAGAAAAAGGAAAGAGAAAAAATGGAACGCTTACAGCCAGAGCAGACTACAGAATCTTTGCTCTTTAAATAATTCTAACGCTGTGTATACGAACCTGATTCCTCGGATCTTGTATGAGGATTTCAAGAACCAAGAAAAGAGCTCGTTGAACTGATAAAGCTGGTACCGCGACTGGGTCCCATTGCGAGGCCAAAATAACGAGTACACATCTCCCTTTCCTACAAACGAATTAGAAATATGAATTACAACGTTGTATAATTATATTTCTATTTTTAAAATGTATCCACGTATTAATGAATAGAAAAATGACGGTGAAAGCTGTTAATATTTTCAAGTTTGTTAAATTGAACAGTAAACGTTCATACGAATTAACGTAAAACACACATACACACATTTCAGAGTGTTCTAACTAGAACGGAAATGGATTTAAATTTTAAAATGTTACCTATCACGTGCAGGAAGCACACCCGGTATTCCTGCGCGCAGCGCGCGCTGCAACGCTGGATCTCTGGCCGTTAGATTGCCGAAGATATCCTGTCGATGTGCTACTTGCGCCTGATAAGCAGCTATCAGGGCAGCAGCTTGTTCCGTGCGATATTTCCGGGCCAACAGGAAACGCGTAATATATTCATCCGTGCAGTGCTTCAAGTCTAGGAGCAAAGAGACGGGTCATTATCATGCTTCACGTGAAAAAAATAGCCGACAGGAAGCCGCTCGAACGCGGACATTATGCCGGAAATTCGTGGATCGACGCATGGAAAACGAATCAGACTAGGCGAAGGTTAATTTACTTGCACGAAACGGAACGTCGGTTTACTATAGCTAACGGGACAGGTTCAACGAAAATTACTAATGCGGGTACTTCGCCTGGATGAATGTTTTTCGAAAAAATTTTTTTCAAACGAGGTTGCGAACCTTCAATGTACACCTGTCACCCTTTACCATACTTCGAAATTCTTTGTTCGTTTATATTTACTCTCTCAATTTCTGTACCAACAACTTTAACAAATAATCCAGGTAGAAAAAGAAGATGAAATATCTCAAACGTTGCGAATGAACCCTTTCTTACCTACATCCGGCATTTCACGCAATATCGCTCGAACGGTTTTAATGGCCAGTTTCTTGTCACGTTTGTCGAATCTAGCCTCCTCGTCATAAATACTCCGCGCCAAAGCGGTGCTTATGTGACCTCTCGTGGTGTCATACATGTACTCACAATACTCGGACATCTTGTGAATCCTTTCTCTGCTTTACCACAGATCTAAAGCAATCAATCATAATTACAACATCCGAGGAAAGATCGCTCGGCTGTATCATTAAATGAGCTTTACATCGATAAATTAGCACATGCAATATGATGTTTCATAGAAATAGAATGGACTTGTAGATAAAAATAGTATACGTTCGCGGATGTATGAAGTATCACGTAAATATTGAACAGTTAAAACAGACACTCCCATAAAGCAAATGCCCAATGCAAACGATATTTATCTCTAAGTACTTTTCTCCTTCGATAAAGATGATCTATCAGCGTTAACTATACCGATCGCTCGGTGCATTGCACATGTGCGCAAAAACGTATGTACTTGATTTACAATAGCTGCACTCGAAAGAAATGACCGTGAACAATGGCGAGACGATAAAAAACTAAAAACATATTCCAAATGTCTATTTATACCTGAATTATATTTTATGGAAATTTCTAATTAATGCGTTATTCAGAACTCTTTTTACACATTGTTTTTATGTCATAATGGTTTCTATCAAACTAAACAGATGAGTTGAAATGTTAATTACTAAGACGTAAAACAAGGCACTGCTGTACCGTGAATGAGTCATTTCTAGGTGAAACACCGTTCAGACGCAACACATCTCGCTGGAGAACTGCGACCGGTTCGTGTAACTGCTCATCGGGACTTTTACTTCGATCTCACAGTCTCTGTAAAATCGTTCCCGTGTGATTTATAGGATAGAATTTATTTTCTGCGACGCGAATCGGTCAGTGATCGACCGTGAACCAACATTTTCCAAATGTGAAGCATTCCTTTTTTTTAGCAGACGATCATTACGCTCCATTTAATTCGCCAAGTGTGGTGCAGACTGAACATATGTCAATATGCACCATGTACCCGCATTATGTTTACGAGAATTTTTTCTTAGTAAGCTAATTTACTTATGTCACGTGCAATGGCATTCAATTTTCAATGCTTTTGTACCAACAAAAAAGCCAACGCGTTCATGTGTCGCATTGTTTCAACATTTCAACCCTTCGTAAACTGTTCAATTCGTTAGAAGTATAATAGCCTTAATTGCAGCGTATGTAATTATAATGTAAACTGAAATTACGTACAGGAACTTATTAACTTATTGTGGTTTTCAGTAAAATTCGGGAAACACGAGGAGTCATTCAAACCTCGTTAAAATTACCGTTTATAAGTTGCACTTAGTATTGTTTTTAACGTCAAAAGTTGGAACACGATGTCTGCTCACGTACACTATTTTATCATATAACATTTCTTTGAAAGCAAGTTTTTTATTAAACGTATCACATGCACCTCTGGTCATTTGAAAAGTTAAACGTTCAACGGAATACGAACGAGAGATCAATAACTGTCTGTTATAACATAATTTATAACTCGTTGAACTTAATTAAACTATGTTTTCAGTACTGAACTTACGTAGTATAGTTTCAATAATCGCTAAACACTTCGGTAAAGATCACACTTTATCCTTTTCTGTATTTATTTTCTATCACCGTTTCAATTGACCACTATCACGCAATCCCACGATAAGATTTTCACAATATAATAGAAATTGCACTATTGTGGGAAATATCAATATCACTGCACGATTAATTTATCATAACAGCGTTACATGTATCTGTTTCAAATTCGTAAGCGAGGGAGACAAAGGACTCGTACATCGGAGGAACCTCGTTGCTCGAACGGTCACGAGCGAACGGCGCGCAATGAAGTCGCCTGTTGCGATTCGCTCGAAAGTGTTAGAGCATTGGGAAACAAAGGAGTGAGTGAGACTCTCAAGGAGAGACGCTCACGCGATTGGTCGAAGCAAGAAAAGAGACGCCCGCGGTGTAACGATGGACTTAAGACACGTCGAGTCGGTACAAATGCGCGGCATAAGTTTTTAGAAACTTACGAACTAAACGCACTTCGGTTTATCAACATTGTTTTTCAAATTAAAATACAATTTTATATAAATTAAATCCTTAAAGTTTTCAAAAACATTGTAATTCTTTTATATTCGCTGCAAGTGTCGAGTTTTTCGTTTCCAATCATCCAATACTTGAGATGATTAATAATATTCGAAGTGATTTAAATAGAAATAGGTTATAGTCACTGAAAGAATGTGTAACAAGGAAAACAATGTACCCATCACTACTTCAACGGAATTGGATAAAAATAAAGGACCAGCATGATAGAAAGAGAGACGAGAACAACTCGGTTACGTTCGAACGTGAAAAGGATAAGTACAGACAGAAAGAGAAAAAGAATAACCAGTGCTGAAATCGAACAGGAGAAAGAAAGGAGAGTGGCGAGATAGAGAGGGAGGAAATGAGAACTGGGATAGAAAGGAACAGGCAACGTGAGGGGAAGAGACGAAACGTTGACAGAGTGAGGAAAAGAGACAATCGCAAAAGTGGGAGCAAGAAAGATGGAGAGAAAGACGGACGAAGCCGGTTACCGGTACGGCTGACTCACCGATCGTTCTTGTTGCGCTATCAGGTAAAACCGTTCTCCAAAAAATGCGAGCATCCACTAGTAAAATATATAGGAAGCGCCAGCAGGTGCATAAAATTTAATTACATTATTTTTTACATCAAATGAAAATTAAACAATGCACTGTTTTTAAGTACATATTTTCTATGCGAGGCTACGTGACTTGTTGCAAGAGTTTCGTAATACATTTTTACCGACCGAAACACCTACCCACTTTTTTCTACTGTCGATGATACAATTTGAAGCAGAAATTTGTTTTATCTTTTTAGTAACTATTTTTCACTTAAGAAATAATTTAGTGTGAAATTCGTTGTTCAAAGATACTTAGACTTGACCATCGCAATGTGAAGTACTCGTTCGTAGACTGTGTTTAGTGATTAGCCTCAGTTTCTTTGTCGCACACCTGTGTTCGAGGTTTCTCAGAAAAATTAATCGAGCAGATGCCTCGTGTCCGGTTTTTGTCAGTTTGATCGAACACGACACCCCGGAAACCGTGAACTCGATTATTTTTTCCTTCTTGTGGGTTTCCACAAATTACCCTTGTGGCGTGTACCGTCGCAAAAAAGTTTTCACTCGAAAATAAAAACTCAACCCTTTCGACGATTATTCCAACGGAAACGAACATTTTACGCTAGAAAAGAGAAAAAACAGGTTCGTGTCAGTTTTGCGTCGAGAAATTGATGGTTGCAATTCACGTTACGAATAACCTGCCAAGTCATGCAATTATTTAAAATATCATGTTACGTTGTTTCCTGAAACTAGTTCTACTACATCGATCCTCACGAACTTCTCCTCATCGAAAATAAGCAATTAAGGATATTGCGAAATATTTGATCCTTGAAATGTAAAACGACACGGGCGATTGCTGTAATCGCGAAAAACAAACAAAATTCTGTCGTTAATAATTTTGCAACGATCGTGTTGAGTCACGGTTCGAGGTCGCGAGATGGTAAATTGCATCATAAACATACACAACGATTAACGATCGGTAATTCTTTACAAGCGTACCAATGGAAAATTGACATTTTACATGAAAGTGATGCGTACGAGAAACATTTGTACAGAACGCCCTCTCGAAACAAGCGGCCGGATGATTGAAACGCTGCAGTATATCCGATAAAGGAACAAGATCTTGTATTATAGCGCGAAACCATTCAATTCTTCCATCGATCGATTTCACCAAGGACGAGGTACAGCGATATCACGTTCTGTAGATTAAGCAGCATAATCCACGATAGTTAGTCCGTCAAAACTACATATGTATGTGTTGATACGTATCGAGTAGCCATCATTTGCAATTGAAAATAGTATGAGCATAAATTTTTCAGTAGTACAGAAATAGAACTAATTATTTCGAAGTATTTTTTCTAGAAAATTTAATCAATGCTATTTACAGTGATTTAGGATTTACAATGGTGTTACTTTATTATACAATTAACAATTGTAATTGTTGGAAATATATAAAATAGATGTTAGTACATATAATAGGGGAATGGTATAATTGTGTTGTTGTAGTAATAGAACTTAATGGTCCTCCAATATGTTACTACCACATTCAATTGAGTTCAATAAAACAATTAACTTGAAGGAGTTTTTGATGACGCTTAACTTTGAGATCACTTAGCAAGTAGCAATTTATGCCAAATTGTACAACACGTGTGGCATACTTAAGCTCCTCCTTATAATCAATACCACAGTATTTACTTGAATGTAAAAACAACTACGTTCAAATTACAAATTAACATCTCATTTTTGACGCAGTTAATAATTCATACTCGACAGCAGTAAGAATTATCAAACACTGTAAATTTTCAGGAATAACATCCAACGTACAAATTAGAATTTTCAAATGAAAAATAGCATGGAGATTACGTTACATTTAAAATCGACAATCATTGCGAAAACCAATGCAGTACATTTAATAAACGATCATGGGGCTTTGAAACGGCGACACATATAAGTTACATATTTTTTTGCGGTGCACCGTGCGCTTGTCTGCGCTCGAAGGACGAAAACAGATCTGTTCGGGTAACGCCGCCTTATATTACGTAACATAACGGTAGAAGCGTGGCAGAGAAGGAGACAGAAGTTACCGGTTTCTTTTGGCGTTGAAAAAGGTGGCCGCAACCCATTTTCTCGAGGTTTTGATACCTTAATGCAATCGAGTTTCAATACTAATATCCGCCATCTTTGGTCCGAAGAAGCTATTTAAAATGACATTAAAAACAGTATTTCGTATTGCGACTATCAAAGCGAAGTTTTATTTCCTTTCTATAATTACAGTAATTTATGATAACAAACAAGGAGCAGGTATAAATTATGACAATGAACAAAAAACTAACGATGTTTTAAACATTAACAACTGCTCACTTCCTTTGAACTTATACGTTTAGAAGATAGTTATCTTTGCATTGTATTATAAATGACGGTATTCTTTCTGAATGAGCGTGAACACGTAACAGGTGTAAGAACATTGATCAATTTATTTTCCGTCGTACGTCGAGGGAAAACAGAAAGTCATTGGGACGCGATTTGAACAGCGAAACGAAAAGGAAAGTGCACCGTATTCTTAGTGGAACTGCTTTAATGTGGTTGTAATCAAAACGTTAGGGCCCGGTGCAGACGAGCGATGCGACGACGTTGTGATTTCGCAGCGGTGACGCTGTGTGATTCGACAGGGTTATATTTCTAACGATACAATGTGTATTAAACCTTTGTCACAGTCTGCTCAATAATAATTGCTATATTAGTAAAAATTAACCTGCAGTGATCAACGATTAAGGCGTAAACAAGTTTTTCAAATATACTGCAACAAAAGAACGAGTTCCAAGTTGACATCGAACGGCTCTAAACGAGGCTCGAGTTCCTCCTTATCTTGCTCAAACTGATGTTTCGGTGCTCGGATTACGTGCACTTGGACGCCTGACCGTTTTTATGACCGCACTAAAGCACTTCCACCAAGAATAGTTACGTCGTTTTTCCTTTTAGGGGGAGAATTATTATGACATGGTAAAAGCACACGTAAGGCTTGATTATTACGCTTCGTGTAACTCAGACTTACTAATTGATGGCTATCATTTCATTAAAAAAATATATAAGCGCAAAGTATGTTGCAATTGGTCACGGTTTCGTATAAATTTTCCACAAACAAATGTAAAAGAAACTTGCGCGAGGATACATTATAAATATGTAATATTAGAGTAATACTTCTCAATATAATTTCGTTTATTCGGTTAATCTGAAAAATATTATTTGAAAAATTTCTTTAGAAAAATTTGAGTTCTGCAACATGGAGTTCAAGGCTCGACGAACCATGACAGTGAAAAAAAGCCAACTATAACAAAGGTGTATTCTTTGATTGTGTAGGGATATAAGTGGAGTGTATAGTTACCTGTTTATACTATGTTAACAGTATAATTTCGTATCGAATAGCTGTGACCATAAATGACACATGGAACTGAACCACTGCATCGAACGAACGAAAGAAACGCAAGCTGTCGTTCATACGTGATAGCACACGCGAACGATTCTTGAAAAGTACGCGACACTAGAAACAATGCTTCCGTAATGCACCAGGTGAACACTACCTTCGGCGCGAAACTGTTTGTTCGAAACTGTTAGCTGGATGATTCGCCAGTGAGCCCTCTATGGTCACTGTCGTTACTAACAGAAACTATTCTTTATTCCTAGGTAAAAATGTTCGCGGTTACGTTGTGCCTAACTTGGAAAATTTTATGAAGTGCAATATATTCTACAATATGGATTATGCATTGTGGAAGTAGTAAATTGGTGTTAAAAAAGTCTGATGGCATTGTTGCTGCATTTTATTGAATTGTATGATATAATTTATGTTAATATTGAATACTGTATACTTTATACGAGATATTACAAACATATTGAAATAAAATAAAAATTATAATAAAATAAAAATTTTGTAATAATAATGTTATTGTACTTAAGTGTCTAAATTTCTTCTTGAAGATACAAGGTAATTGAAACGACGGGAAAGTTAGTTGTACTAATTGACACGCGAGGTCGCCACTGGTGGTGTAACACAAGATAA